TTTAATCTTATAAACACTCACCTGCGACAAAACATTCAAGCGAAGTCAAATTTAGATGTCCCCAAAATTTAGATAGGTTTCCATAATTTTCTTGTATACCAGGAGCAAGAGCAAGGATCAGAGCTTGACGAACCCCTGAGTCCTTGAATCCTTGTTTGCATTGCTGCCTCTGCGTATCTTCAATACACAATACTATCTTAATTGACCCTTGTCCTCCATCAATTCCTATCTTCAGAAAACAATCATCCACATTTCTTCTAGCCTTAAAGTATTGGATAAGACCTTCAACGCTGATACACATAACAACGGGACGTTTTTCGGCAAGGTAAGATTTCCCTTTGGTGGATGATACATCTATAGTCGTTACCTTGAAGAAATCTTCAAGCTCACTCATTCGGTTCTGAAGTGCAGATTTCAACCCAGGTTGAATTGCCTTACGGTTTTTGACACGAATGTTACGTGCCAGCTTCAGCGTCTACAGAACAAAGTGTTCAAGGAAACAACATAGGTTAACAAGTATCTAGTATTAATTTCCGTACATCATACCTTGCGCGTGCTAAGATCCAGGTCAGCTTTCCAATTAAACACATCCTCATGAGAAATTGGTACCGTGTTTTCCTTCTCTTTTGTATTGATAACCTTAATACGACTAGGTTTTCCCCTTTGATTTGAAATGCTTGCAACTGGTTGATCATTTGATAATTTCTTCCGTATAGCCGTTGAAACCAAATGATCTTGGCTTCCTTCCGCCATAACCGAAAGATTTTGAAGCTTAGTGTACTTGTTGCATTTATGTGGTTTTCCAGGATGAACTTGTGTCAAGCAAACATTACAAATTTTGATGACGTTCGATGCTTTTTTCCCTTTCGATATAGAAACGTTTTTCTGCAGCGTTTTTTGTGCCACACGACAAATATCGCAATCCTGGTGTTTTTTTGAACCTCTCGTTATTATTCTCTTATGGTATTTATGCACAGGGATTTTTCACCACTCTTACATCTATATACCGCAATGTAGCAGCTTCTGCACAGCACTTTTGGATACATTTAATTTTGTTCGTCAAAATCGGGTAAAAAACACTCTTTAATTGTTTTTTCCAACGGTTTATGAATGTGTTTCGCCAGTTTCGCTTTATTGAAACATAGGAGACATATTTTCAACCGGTTTTGTTCGTGAGTTTTCTTCATGGTCACACGCAGCTGAACGTTATAATTAATACAAGCGGTTTAGTTCCAGAACACAGTAACAATGTTTTTGTATTTACTTCTACGCGGAACATGACCTATGGTAACACGCTTAAATGAAGTTAACCATGTTGAGTATAAACAAAGGAAAAAGGAAATAGAGCTAAATTTAGCTAAATATTGAAGTCATTTTTTTTTTTTTTTCCTCGACAGATTCTTTTCAATCCAACCGATTTTGAAATGTCATCGAAACTAACATCTGGAGATAAAAATCCGAGGTATATGAAAGTAGATTAATAATAGCGGCGCCGGTGGTGTAGTGGTAAGCGTGATTACCTCTCACCCCAGCAGGCCTGGAAAAAACACAGTCGGCGCCACCGGGATGTTCTGAGGCATAACATCTCCTTCGGAAGGGAAGTGAAGCCGTTGGTCCCCGGTTCATGAGTTGATGGGTCGATAAGAAAGGGTCCAGGTGTGGGAGCTGCCTCCCAGGCGGCGTCGGTAGCATTGGTGCTCAGCACGGAAAACAAGATCGACGTAAAACAAATCCAAGGAAAAAAAAGGAGATTAATCCATCCCTCCACAAAGTACATTGCGTCTCCACCTACTAAAAAAAAAACGGTAAAAAATCCAAAATTTAAAATCAAGATTTTTCAATTTTCCCCCGATAGAATATTTTAAAACCAATCGATTATTAAATGTAAGCACCAAAACTAACTTTTGGTGAAAAAAATCCGAGGTACATGAAAGTTGATTAATACGCCACTTCGAACACGGCGTGTGATGTCTTTAAAGTCAAGACTCGCCCACGCAAATCAACATCACCATCAGGTGGGGTAAAATTTCCCCTGGCTGACGGTAATGTAGGTTTGCGTGGGCGTGCCTTGAATTCTTAAAAATCATTGAGAGAAGTCATTGCTTACAAAATTTGTTACGTCTTATTCCAACTCTATCTAGATATGTTGAAATCTAACATTTACTTATTTATTTATTCATCTGACTTTTTGTCGTCTTAATGAATGTGATGGGGAAAAGCCAATTTAAATGGCGTATAAACCCCATATCTTTTCACAATACAGTACAAACATTACAAAACAAGCACATCCGTGAACATAACATAAAGTGAACATGGCTTCAAATATCAACTGTAGTCAAAAACATAAAAAAACATTATAATTCTATCAGCTCCATTGGACATCCATCATCCGAAAAAGATACAGATAGCATAATCGTTACAATCTAGGAGCAATGGAATATAACTCACCTTTCACAATAACGAATCTCACTCGATCCATTAATGCAATTCAGTCAGTCTATGCTTAAATGTTGCCACAGTAGAGTTGAAGTCGAAGAGGATGTAGACTTCGTTGAACCTAGTCGACATAAAGCGGACAGGATCATGAAGGCCGTACAAGGAGTTGCGGGGCTCAAGCAGCAAAAAGTTCCGTTGGCGAAGTAATCGTTCAGGAACGTAAAGGTTAAGTTGACCTTGTAACTCCGGTGTGTCAGTTTCTCCTGTGAGAAGTTTAGCTACAAACACCGCTTGGGCATCATTCCGTCTCTGCTCAAGCGTCTGCAGTCCCAATAATCTGCATCGATCTCCATATTGTGGTAGGTTTAACGGATCTCGCCACGGAAGGCGTCGTAGGGCATATCTCACAATTTTTCTCTGAATTGATTCGATCCTACCAATTCAGGTTGACTGGTACGGGCACCATACTACAGAGTTGGATTTCATATATGTTTTCTTAAAGAATATTAACCTTAGATTGTAAGTTTGATTAACCTTGTGTTTAGTTTGTATTTTGTGTGTATGGTTTTTTTTAAAGTTTGATTTGTAATAATAGAACGTTTACACTGTTGATATCAAGTTGAATTGGAATAAGTTCATGTTTTAGGAATAATGAAATATTTGTATCGTAAATCATATTTCAAACCTCCTTTTTCCTCTCCCATCCATGAAACTGTAAATCTCCACTAACCTCGAGACGATCGCGTGTAATCGGTTCAATTCCTTTAACTTGAGATTTTAACTTTAGATTTAAAACATTAATAATGAATAACGAAGAAGATAATTTGGCTCTGTAAAGTTTATTCGATTGAGCCTGTACAAATAAATTAATTTATAATAAAAAAAAACTACAAGGGACAGCCCAATGGGGTTGTACGCAATGATGACGTAGGACTACGTGGTATGATATAATATATGTTTTTGTTAACTGCAGCAGGAGCTTGTGTTTTATGTAGGAATAGGAATTTTAGCGGGGTTCTTTCTGTTTATACTCTTTAGTATGACTATGATTGCCCTGAAAAAAATCTTTTGATATGAATTTTAGTTGGGACATGTGCAGAAAATTAACTCTTTTGGAAAATGTTGGTGGCCCTGAAAAGGGCCGATGGTAGTACAGGCTTAAAGCCTTTGCAAGATGATGATGATGGCCGCAGCGAAGGAAACCTCAACCTCGCTACGATGAATGGACATTCGGAAGAGTCTCGGCGCGGCTGCTGCTGGACACGGGTTGACTAGGTGGCTGCGACGGGTTGGAAGGACGCAGTGAAGGATACCTCAACTTCGCTACGAGAAATGGGCACTCAGAAGAGTCTCGGCCGGTTGCTTCAGGATTAGAAGCTTAGTTGCTACTGTTTTGCTGGTCCCTCTTGCTGATCGTCACGATGGTTCTACTTCCACACAAAGGTTGTTGGTTATGTGACTAGATGAGTGAAAATGAAAAATACATCAGAGATTTTCGAAAATGTCATTGAGGTTTAGTGTTTACCTATGGTTAATTGATGATTAAATAAAAATTATTGCAGAAAGTAGGGGCACGGTTTGTTGGTTGTGAGGTGCTACGATGAATTAGCACTTGGAAGAATCTTGGCCTGGCTGCTGCTGGACGCGGATTGACACGGTGGCTGTGACGGGTTGCAAGGGCGCAGCGAAGGATACCTCAACTTCGCTACGACAAATGGGCACTCGGAAAAGTCTCGGCCCGGTTGCTTCAGGATTAGAAGCTTTGTTAATTTTGCTGATCGTCGCGATGTTTCTATTTCCACACAGGGGACGTTGCTTTGTTGGTTGTGACTAGATGAGTGAAAATAAAAATGCATCAGATTTTCTAAAATGTCATTGAGGTTTAGTGTTTACCTATGGTTACTTGATGATTAAAAATAATTGCAGAAAGTAGAGCACGGCTTGTTGGTTGTGAAGAGGCGGTTGGCTGGCGACTGCAGGAAGTAGAGCTATGTGGCGTTTTGTTGTTTGTGAAGGGGCTCGTTTGTACCGGAGGAAACGTCGAGAGACTCAACAGGCAAAGGCAACAGGATGCTCGTATTGATATTTTCAGAACAAGACAGAGCTTAACCGGAGGAAGGCCGAAACCCTCAACCGGCAAAGGTGACCCGACTGTGTGAAAATTAGTGCAACACGAATTGGCAGCAGACAACAATGTGAACAACAGCCGATGGTACGAAAAGTACGTGATGTATCTTTTCTGTGTAAGTGGAGCAGTATCCTTTGCAAACACCATATCTATACACGAGCCCTTCAACGTGGTTGGTTGCTGGGAATCCGAGACCAAGTTCAAGTTCAACAGGTTTGCAATGAATTCGATGAATTTGATGTTCTCTGCCTTAGAGACGTGTGGCGTTTTGTTGCTTGTGAAGGGGCTCGTTTAAAGCGGAGGAAACGTCGAGAGACTCAACGGGCAAAGGCAACGTGATGCTCGTATTGATATTTTCAGAACAATACAGAGCTTAACCGGAGGAAGACCGAAACCCTCAACTGGCAAATGTAACCCGTTTGTGTGACGTGTCTCACTAATTTGCAGCAGACAACAATGTGAACAACGGCCGATGGTACGAAAAGTACGTGATGTATCTTTTCGTTGCAAGTGGAGCAGTATCCCTTGCAAACACCATATCTATACACGAGCCCTTCAACGTGGTTGATTGCTGGGAATCCGAGACCAAGTTCAAATCCAACAGGTTTGCCATGAACTCGATGAATTCGATGTTCTCCGCCTTAGAGACGTCGATATTGAAGTCCCCAGCTACAATGATTGGAGTTGGAAAATGTTTGTAGAGGGTCAGGCTTCTAGTCATGAACGCTTTGGCGAGCTTGATCGGTGTGTTCGGTGAAACGTACATGCTGAATAGTACCATTTTGCACCCATCAACTTGAATTTCCGCAGCGCAAATATCTCCATAGTTTGCGGCTTCAACGAAAATGGGATCATGTCGTTCACCCAGCTGAACAATCGTGTGCGACGTTGATACTGGTGAAATTGATGCCTTCTCGTAAATGGCCACGCCTCCTGCCCTCACATTTTCTCGCTTGAATTTCGCTATGCATATGTAACCTAGAAAAAATAAGCAGAATTATATAAAGTCAAACAATTGAAAGAATTCATTTACCTGATATTTCCGAAGACTCATTGTCGTCCATCCAAGTCTCACTCAGCGCCAAGAAATCGGCTCTGGTCATGACATGGTCAGTCGACAGGTCCTTGGAATGCGCATTCAGGCTCTGGATGTTCAGGGTCATCAGTATAACAGAGTGATCAGCGTTATCGAAGAACGCGATCAACTCGTCACTGAGCGTCAACAATTTGTGGTTTTCTAACCGTTGCATCTCGTCACGGAGTTCCTTCATCTTGGGGGTGTTGCTGCCCTTACCGTGATGAAACACGAATGAATTGGCGGAGTTTGTCATGTAGAGCCCCTGCACTGAACTCACACGTGACATGGCGACGTATACCAACTGCTGCTCCTGGCTCTTGTCATAATCGATAACAATTTCCGCGAAAGTAGCTCCTTGTGACTTGTGAATTGTCAACGCACAGGCACTAACGATGGGAAATTGTATTCGCTTGCATTTGATTACACTGCTTAGCTTGACGTTGACCGATCGCTTGTAGATCGGTGTCCAGTCTTGTTGCAGTACGCCAGGTTTTGAAAATACAAGCGGCCTGGATTTCACCCGAAGTTTCGCACCAACAGCGTCGTTATCAAATTTGAACCACAAGCGACACGCAGACTGCTGGGGGCCATCATCGGTGTGCTCAATGTACCTGAGTTCGCCGATTGCTCCATTGACGAGACCGTCCTCTACTTCTACATTGGTCGTTATCATGTATGACATTCCAACAACCAATCGTAGAAGGTATGGAAGACAACCTGTTTCAGCGACACTCATTTTGTGTAGTTTGGTACGAGCACTGGTTAGCTGAGCAGCGTCTTGGTATCCGCTGATTACATCCTCGGCAGTGCAATCCCATCCATCACGGTTGCTCAAGGCACCATGATTATACGCTTCAACAGCGTTATTGCGATGGTATAATCGTATTGCGTTCGGAACATTCTCCATGCACCATTCGACTGTCCGGAACCTGCTTTCTACCAGCTTGGTCTCACAATCCGACAACCGCTCACCATTTCCGATCTTTGTTAGAATGGAGGAAAACTCAACATCGGTTTGTCGCATCACTTGGCGCAAAGGGAAGTAATCCAGCGTTTGCCATAGTGCTACACCACCGATGGAGTTGTTCGCGGACTTAAAAGTGGGTCTCGCATTCACCGGAGGAAGCTGTCGGAAATCGCCACACATGATTACGTCTTTTCCGCCGAACGGAAGATCGTAATCACCGGTGATGCTTTGAAGCCGCGTGTGGATTGTATTGAAAATGTTTGCTCCGATCATGCTAATTTCATCGATTATTATTAGCTTGATGTTGGCAAACGATTGTCGATACAGCTGCAGGAGTTCGAACCGGAGTTGCCCATGGTGTCTTCGATCCATGGTTATGTGGAACGCCGAATGGACAGTTGTTCCCCCGATAGCCACGGCAGCCTTTCCTGTCGATGCGCAGGCGACATAGGCGTTATTAAGTGCATTATGTTGCTGGCTAAAGCGATTATATGTCTCCATCAGGACATGGAGCGTAAACGTTTTACCGCATCCAGCCGGCCCGGTAAAGAACAACTGGAGAGGTTTTCTGCTGTCATCAAAACAATGCAGGTTGTCGATTACTTGCAGTACAAGAGCTCTCTGTTCAGCATTCGTTTTGCGAACCAGAGCACAGTAATCCTGCTTGCTCATAACGGTCGTCCGCTGTTTTATGACGGCAGATCGAGCGTTCGTGGGTAGTAAGCGGATGTCATCATCGTTGGGTTCCATCACGATGGCTCTGGTACATTCATCACCCTTTTCTGTTGCTACCGCCTCCTGTGCATCTGGAGTTTCCTCAACGCTTACCCTCAGGTACTCATCGATTATCTGCTCCAGGTTCAGATCACAGTCGTACTCTTTACGTTTCGCAAGGATTGCCTGTTCGTGCTGATCGTATAGCTGCAGGAACTTGTTTTGGTCGAGAATATCACACAGCTCATTGCGAAACGGGACGAAGAGGAGTACCATTTCACGCTTGTAGTCCGAAAGCTTCGACATGTCATAGCTACACCATTGCAACACTCGGTGAAATTTCCGAGCCCTGTAAGAGTTGCTGCTGCGTTGCTGCTGGTAGAGGGCTGCGAAATCGGCTAGACACAGATCTTCCAGGTCGTTACGAGCTTCATACTTCTGTATGATATTCAAAGTCCATACATCAGTCGAATCGTCACTGATGCTTTCGTCGTCCATTCGCTGATTTCGTTTTCTGGACTTAATTCGCTCGTGCGGCCACATCGTTGGAATGAACTGCGTCGCTCGGCTTGCTTCCGACATCGGCTGACGTAACAAATACCACGATGCTTCTTGAGCAGACATCTCCACAGAATTCAGCATCTTGATGCTGACCTTCTTCAAGAGAGCGGTGAAGTCTTGATCAGGGAACTCTTCTTGCAGCTTGATGAGATCCCGCTGGAGACAGCTCACTCCACGGTTGGTCTTATTTACGTATTCAACCACGTACGCAGCGCAGGTGTACTCGTCCAGGATGAATTGCAAGTCCATGTTTGAGCCGAGGTGGCTTGCTATCCACGGGTTGAATGGGTTTGTCCATAGTTCATTCATGGATCGCTTGAACAGGACTGTTGGACGGCGAATTGATACTCCAATGACGGCTAGATAACAATCAGGAGTGCAATTACAATCGCTAAGAAATGCTTCCAATGTATCATATGTTTTCGTTTCCAGAGCCTCTCGCATTATCTTGGCTTTCCGGGTGAGCCGATCCCTGCGGCTATCATCGGACGCAATCGGAAGCAAAACTAGTGTCCGATCCATCGGCCAGTACGGAATATTGAACCGACAGTGGTTTTCGTTCCGCTTGAAACATGTGAAAGTATGCTTATGGACCTATAATAATAAAAGGTTTAATAAATAGATAATTTTAAACTAATATTAAATACATAATAACATTGATCTTACTTGATACCCGTAAGTATTCGGCAAATCTCTGACGCTAACGGAACAGAGATCTTTAATCAACTGTACGGTTTTTGGCATATTTTCACTGATTGCTTCCCGCGGATCCTTGTTCAGCCATAGCAAGATGTGCGCGTGAGGACTTCCACGGTGCTGAAATTCAATCCGCTTGAAATAATCGGCCACATAGTGCTTTCCGAATGGACTGTAGTGCCGCGATATCAGCAGGAGCATGATAGTGTCAACCAGCTTGTTGAAGTACACACAGCACGTGACTGGATCGTCATTGACCAGAGTTGCTCTTTGTAATGCAGTCAATTCCTGGATAGGATCTGTTAAGTCATTGCCATTGTGTCCCTCTGACAATCGATGTAGGAGCTTCAACAAATGGGGCCACTTCATCTCATTTGCACTGAGTGTGAGGAACATCGTAGGCTTTCCCAATTGTCGCATCATGGCGAACAAATCTCTCTTCCTTTGTTGCCAATACTGTACTGAATTCGGTATTGACTTGAGGAAGGATAGATTTCGATCAATGCACTGCTCCATGAATTCGCGGTCCTTAAGGTTGGCACGTGTAATATTCGCGGTCCCCATGCACTTAAAAGTGCATTGCAAGCCTTCGGAAACTCTAAGGCGAAGAACTTTCATTGCCATATACAACAAATGTTGTGGTTTGGCCCCACGCCTGTCTCGGCGACGAGTTTCACTGGATGCCATCATGAAATATGTCACCCGAACACCTGGCTTGAATTTCCGTGGATGGCCGAAATATATGGCAGGAAAAGCTAGCTCTTCACCGTGCTCGTCGTAAATCAATGACAGAGGAACCCTGTTTTGCGCGGGAGCGATCTCCAGGCATTTGTCCTCATTCCAAAGGAGCGTTTCCTGTTGCCCGAGCAGCAATTCGGTCTCGTTATCCACGGCAATGGTTTCCAGCTCAATTTGAGGATCCACTGCAGGGGTTTCAAGATCATCTATGGCGATCTGATCAATTGTGATCCCGTAGTGGCGATACAGTGGTGTCGTAATCAAATAAGAAAGCCACGCTTTAACCGTAGTTTTCTTTATAAAGCCGGACAAGTACGATGACTTATGGATTACGTGCTTTTTGATGAACACGTTGAAGGCCTGATCATCATCGAGCTGACGGGGAAGAGAGTGTACCATTTGTGCAACATCCACGGGACAATTGATCACTTGCCCGATAATAGAATAGCTGCCTGTAATTGAAAACATAGTTGATAAATTATAAGTCATCAAGCATTGCAATTTCATTTTACCTGCTGCAAATCGCAATCGGCGGATTTGCATGAATGGCAACCGAGGGGATACCAACCGTTCCGTGACGACATCAAGTGGTGGCAGTCCAGATGGCTTGTCTGGAAATGCGAAACCGTTCGATTTTGCGAAAGCCGGAACTTTTCCTCGCTTCAGATTGCTTTGGCAAGTCTGGCAAGCCAAAAATCCTTCAACGGATTGAAAAGATCCACTGTTAACCAACGCAGCCGCACCCACTTCTGTCAATGGTTTCAAATCATTGGTAAACCATAGTCTGTCGCATATGTCGCATACAGCACCGAACACGTTATCCATGAACCGCTTCGTGAACTCACGATTAGCGCGATCAAAATTTGGTGGTAAAATAGACTCTAAAAAGGAATAATAACAATAACATAATTATTTTATATGCACGTTGACATTTTCGCCTCAATTACGTAACGAATGCACTTGAGATTACTTTTCGTCAAAAATCTATGAAGTTTAAGGTTTTACTCACCCTGACTTGAATGCTCAGGAAACGATGTATCGATTTCCATAGTCTCCAACGGCGTGGCAATATCGGCTTGTATTTCGAAACCGGAAAGCGATGGAGAGATAATGACCGTATCGGGGAAATGTTCCATGACTACAGCATCACCGGCGAAAGCAGCTTCATTGTTAAACAAAGTCGGCAGAATAAAACAATTGTCACCTGGTTCATCGACGATGCCTTGCACTCTGTTTGTTTCTTCAACAACAGAACGCGGCGGAGGAAACACTAAAACACACATTTGAAAAAGCAACATTCCTTTGTCCTAAACCCTCAAATGGTTTTAAGTACAAATAAAACCATTTGAAATTACAAATCCAACTATTTGAAGTTCAATATATTAATTTTGTCGAACCTCTTAACGGAATCCCTTTATGAAGAGCTTTTGAGTGTGTTGATTTATTTCCTTTTAATTCCGTTATTAATTGCTTATGTTTTGACAGATATTTAGTATTTCGTCTACTTCTTGCAGACTTCATCAGTGCCAAGTAGTGTTGTTAACTTTTCATCGAGTACAATCAGTAGATAAGTAAATTTGTTTCCTTTGCGTTAATTCTTGCTAAATTTTATGACCATTTCCCAAAAACCGCCATTCAAAAAGTAAAAAAAAAAAATGAAAGTGGTGAGCGGGGGGTGAGCTAAAATTTTGAGAATCCGTAGAATTACTACGGCGCTATTAAAAAAAATCCGTAGATATCTGGAAAATCCGTAGAATGTTATGGTCGGTCCGTAGATCCGTAGGAAACCTAAAAATCCGTAGATCTACGGATAAATCCGTAGAACTGACCACACTGGTGCCAAGTGAAGTGGTGTTGATCACTTGGCACTGATGAAGTCTGCAAGTAGTAGACGAAATACGCGTATCTGTCAAAAGATAAGCAATTAATAACGGAATTAAAAGGAAATAAATCAACACACTCAAAAGCTCTTCATATTTGAAGTTGATAAAATATTCTGTGAAAATGCATATTCTATTTCGAATATATTGCTCATAGTGTAAATATAATGTTGTACAACCAGCACATGGGCGGTCGCGAGGGGCGCGCACTTCCAGGTATGAGTGCGTGATATTTAAAATACATCGCAGTAATTTAAATACTTTGATGACAGTAATAATTTGAATTTAAATACTTTTAGCGGTATTGAAAGTAATCAACAAATAATTAATGATAATGAATGTAATTAAAAATAATTTAAATGTATTGAAAATAATTTAAATTTAAAATTCTGCTGGTATTTATGGAAATTAAGAGTGTATTTAAAGTAATGAATGCAGTAATGGCAAGATTTTAAATATTTTGTCAGCAGGCTGCGTAGTATTGATAGTCTAGTGCGTGCCCCTCGGGCGGTCGTGTATAACTACATTGCAAACCACGGAGATAGAGAATAAATCAAATGTCGCAGCCTATTTTTTCCAAACACACAGCAAAAAATAAATTTTAATATTACATCCATTAGGATACGCTTCAATCATGTCGAAAATCTCATGTAATTTTTATGGCCACAAAAATAAACAAATGCAGTAAAAGCAGCGTAATGTCAGTTCATGTACTGTATTAATGATAATTTTGCCCTTTTTGGCAAGTATTATTACACCATATTTTTGAAACGATTGAAGTGCATCCATGTGATATCAAAATTAATTTTTTGCTGTGCAGTTTATTGTAATGACATTTTAGCTGCAAGCTTGCATGTGACAGTAAATAACCAACTCCCTTATTTACGCTAATTTTAACATCTATGCTTATGAGTGGTTAGTATTCATTCTCATCTTTTAATTCCATTCAATAAACATCAAATAAATGCAGCAAGAAATCAGCAACATTCTACTTGACATAAATTTATGTCGCGCCCGCAGCCGGTCTTGTCTGCTTCTTTGTGCAAAAATGTTCTGTCGCTGGCAGAAAACATTTTAGAAATAAAACAGTAAGTAAAGGTTATCTTCCATTTGATTTTAAGTGGAATCGACACTGATGAAAACTGCACATTGTAGTCGAAATACGTATCTGTCATGGATACCAAAATTAATTAAGTGGAATTAAAGGGAAGATAACCTTTACTTGCTGTTTTATTTAAATCATTCCGCTAACAACCCAATTTCATTGCTTCAGTTAAGAAGCAATGACATTTTTGCCGCTTGCCAGTTCGTTTGAGTGTGTCGACACAATGGTCATTGCGAAAAGTATCAAATGTTAAGGAAAAAAAGTCAAACTCCATGACTCGTGTCACCACTGATCGAAAAATAACTATTGTCACCGGTTTTATCCAAAACGCTTTGCGCTGTTAGATAACTCGACCACGGAGCACAGCATATAGATTATGAAGTATCAAGAACATAATTAATCACACTGCACCTATTGACAGATTTGACAGATAAATACAGATAAATTTCAGTTGGTGACCCATTTGTTTGTACAAAAAAACTTTTCAACATCATTAAACAAATCATTTTCGCTCATTCACTTGATGAGAATTCAGTGCTTTGGACGATGGCAGATCGATAACTAATCTATCTTCTTTTCCAATTCCCTTAGGGGCTGTTCATTAACTACGTAGACAGTTTTTTGGTATTCTTGACCCCCCTCCCCATGCGTAGACAATTGTCCATACACAATTCTTAAAATTTGTATGAACCGTGAACAATTGCCAAACCCCCCCATACACTGTCTGCGTAGTTTATGAAAAGCTTCTTATAAGTGGCTGGATAAAATTTTTAAATGAACCTTTTCAATATGTATCGAATATATAAATCGATCATTTCTCAATAACTATGCATTATGAATTATTAGTAAAATGCAGCAGAATCCATGAAAAATCGAAATAAAATAATTGGATTTTCTCAGCTGAGGCAAAGTGATACTTGCGACCTATTGAAAAATCACTCCAGAATATTGAACTTCACTGTAAATAACATCCCTTCTGTTGATAATGCTTCATAACCAAGGGGGGGAGGTGGCTGTCATATACGAACAATCGTCGCCTACCTCGCATAACTGGTTCCGAACGTAAACAAGCCATATGAAACCTACAGGGCTTGTTTACGTTTGGAACCAATTTCATACAAGAATGAGCAGTAGGCTGATTGGCCATCACCTCCCCCCCCCAGTTCATAACAAGAAATTTTATTGTCGGAGCTGTGATTTTGACATTTCCCGGAATGTCTTTTCTCGGAATAACCCGGTTTCCTGAACATTCTTTTACCAAAAACATGAAATGTAGACGGCATGAAACTGGGAAAAAGATCATTCAAAACCAATGTTGGATAAATGTTATAGTTATGCTATTGTCAGGTTTATGTCGGATTTAGTTAGGGCTGATATCAGATTACGTCAAGTTGAAGGTGGGGTAATGCTGGGTTGAAGAAAAATAAACGGTTTACAGTATATTCCATTTAGACGTTGGGCTGACATCATTTTCACATCAAAGTTTAATTAAGAACCAATGTCGACCTAATGTCAGAATAATGCTGAGAACTAAATGCGTCGTTCCGTGAAATGACAATCTTACAATAGGGTTATCATCCGAATCAACTACCCGGGAAGCGAGATATCCGTGCAATGATTTCCAGGAAATAGTATAGAATCGTATCTGATATAATCACATAATCGAATATTGTTCTCAAGTAATTTATAGGTTCGCTGATCAATTCTAGAAATTAAAATCCATACTTTCTTTTGTTTATCAATATTGAGAACAGTAAATAACTAAAGCTTGATTGCATCGAACATTTAAAACAATGTTTAAATCACACAGAAACGTTACTTTTCAAGTGCAAGAGAGGGTTCATCAAAAACAGCGATTACTAACAGCTTAAAAGTTCATTCGTGAAAGGGTTACTATAATGATCGCAATACATTCAACAAATAAAAGGTTGATATGATGCCAACGTCGATGTTTATAAATTAAATTGTAAGAAGACATTTGCCAGATTCTCCAAATCGGAATGGTATTGAACGGTAACAGAAGTAGAACTTTGCTACCATAAATACATATTTGTTACGGCGGCTAATAAATAATCAAGATTTCCTACCTCGAGTTGAAGACCCTTCGCCAGCGTCCCAAGCGATAGTTGATGACGCATTAGATACAGCTGTTTTGTTTTTGGCGCGAAAACAGCGAACTCGTTCGGCAGCAGTTTTGGGTCGCTTCGGGATGTCCTCTGCTCCTTGCCCCCTCAATCGCTTTCGAAGATTGCGCATGTACAGCGCAGAATCGTATTGCGACATGGCACAGTTTGATTTTCTCAAAAATATCCAGCTATTCCACGATCACACACAGCGAGAGCGTAATCAGAACTGATATCGATTTCCCTTTGCCTACTGAATTTATACTGTGCGTGCGCACATCTGATAGCTACAGGGAAGTAACAACATAATGAAGTAAGACGCAAAATATTCTAAGAGGGAGGGGCTTCATTGGCTATTCTGCGAGTATAAAAGAAACTGTTATCTAGCGCGCGCGTACAGTTGCAGACAAGGCTTGAAAAGGGATCGTATGTCGTCCTGTTTTGTTATGCATGTTTTTACCATCATCCACATCCAGAGGGCCAGTCACTTTCGGATGTATGGGAATGGTAGGAAACCATTTGGAAATGCATGAAAATTTTCAGTTTTTATTCATTATCGTCTTTATGAGCAGTATTAGATGCACAAAAATTGCACGAGTACATTACTATGGTGATAAGGTAAACACTCGTTGATTTATTTTCATCTGTGAAAGCATGTTTAGTCACAAATCGTGGATTTTCTGATATCCTCCATACTGCAAAAATGATTTTCCTACCAATGAAGGGGTGACATCTCTCGAATCTTCAGTATAGCTACTACTCAAATCATATGATTAATTGCGTGATCTTGTACGTTTTATGCATTAACATGTACAGCAGCAGAGATGCCAGATTTTTTTTTCAGAAGTCTGCGAAAAATGTTTTTGAATTTCAGAAATGTATAAAATTATTAAATTAGCAGAAGTTTTGCGTGTGACGGGGGGGTCATGAAATAGATGTGAAATTTGAAATGTCAGTAAAAGTCATGTTCAAGCAAAACAGACCTGCTTTTAACGAATTAAACCTAATTGGAGTTGGGAATGCATCCATTTACGCGTATACGTTCAAAGCTATTAATAAAAAGGTAACTAAATTTTAAATTTTTCCCTTCATTTCAAAAGTCTGTAAATATCTGTGAAAAAACTAAAAAGTCTGTAAATGTCTGTAACGAAAAAAAAGTCTGTGAAAAAAATAAAAGTCTGTGAATTCACAGACATGTCTGTGAATCTGGCATCTCTGACAGCAGCGACGGACGTTTCAATGTTTCATTCTAGCTTGTTTTGGTTGTTTGCGCTGTGCATGCCACAGCTGCTGCATAGAAGCCGATTTTCCCATATTCCTGCATATTGAAATTCCAGAATGAGCGATAGCGAGAATCGATGTGACTTTTGTCACTAGTGAAGTGAGAGAAGTCACGTCGTGGTGACGTGACTCTCTGTGGAAATCAAATGGAGAGTAACGTCACCACGACGTGTCTTTTCTCACTTCACTAGTGAAAAAAGTCACTTCGACTCTTGGAAAATAACCCCTACTTTATTTTTTACTGCCCAAGTTAGAAGCAGCACAAAGCACCAAAGTGACTGCGATCAGTTTGCTGTTTTTGCAATCGTTCACAGCTGAAATCGGCGAAGGGAACTTGGTCGAAATCAGAATGTGAACGAAGTCAAAGCAAAAATGTGTCGTGTGTTCGATTGGCGCTCTGTCGCTGCGTCCCTGTTTGGGAATTTACGTTACATGTTCCATTTTCGGTTTTCACAAAGTGTACCCCCATATAGAAATCACAGACGTAGTCCTACGTCAAAAATCATTAGGGTGCTCAACACGGAAGAGGCTGGCGAGCTGTATGTTGTTTAGAACGAGGGTGACGCGCTTGGCATAGATGGCTCACAGCGACTCACGAAGAGCTACTGAATCCGATCAGTAGCGGTGCGGCTTCTTCCTCTTTCTTCAATGATGTGACGCTCGTGTTGGCTGCAGCTCGCTGCTTGTGGGCAGCCTTTTGTGTATTGGAGAATTATATTCAACGCCACGCGCCGAAAGCACTGCTGATGATGACTGACCGGACACCGTGTGTGGTGATGATTGAATAAGCACCGTTCGGCGAGACCAGATGGAATTCTATTTTGAAATCTGTTGCAGAGAAAGCGCTTTTTGCAGGCTATCGGTGATAATTGTGATCACCATTGCAACAGCTGGACATTTGTGTAATGTTCATTAGTAAACTATTGCAAATTGATAGAGTGTTCATTTTATCAGATTCGTAGAAAACTTTCCAATCGAATGACTTGTTTAGAATTAAAATCCATTCGCTACTGACAGAATTATTAGCGAACAAAACCTGACTACTTTTCGCGTAGCGCGATTGATTTTGTTTTTTTTTTTATTATTATTATTATTGCACCTCCAATATGTTGCCGAAAGACGTAATTCTACGTCAAAACATCTCATATCATGCAGTATATCACATTTAGTTCATGATTCCGCGTATTTTTGCACAAAATGTTGAATATTTTGAATAAAACACACTTGAACAGTTCTATTCTAGTTTGGTTTGTCGTGGAAAGTTGTGTAAAATTGTAGAAAATCGTAATTAAGGGGGAAAACATTATTTTTGGTTTCCACTCATGAGGAATTACATTCATTATAGTTTATGCACAGGACGTTCTTGCATGATATGTTTCCCTTTAAGGTGGTTCGCTGTGAGATCCTTATTCTCGCTACCGCTTCGAAATTTTAAGTGCACAAATATAAGCTTCCACGACACGTACTGCAATGAAACTGTTACTCCACGTTTGCTGCGCTGCAGCATACATGCAGTAGCAATTTCAGGTGAAATGGAACTCTAATTTCCGAGTTTTGTGTAATTGAAAATTTTAGGTGGAAGTGCATTTATAGCATATGTGGCGGCCATTTTTGGACTCTACAAGGAATCACCTTAAGCCCCTCAATTATACTTCTATGCCTTTAGTAGCTGAGTGATGAGAATGGCTACCTCTCACCCCAGTGCGTCTGATATCAATCCCAGCCGAGGTCGTTGGGATTTTCAGAGGCTCTCACACCAAATTTTTAACGCTAAAAATCAGCAATTTTTCGCTGAATTTTGCTGAGCTGAAATTTCAGTAATCATTTCAGCAATATAAAATTGCTGAAATTTCATCAATGTGAAATTTCCTTCTGCTTGACAGAGGTTTACTGAATTATCAGCATATTTAATAGAATTGCTGAAAATTCAGCTAATTCGGCAATTGCATAATTTGACAGCACTTTGCTGATAGAATTCAGCAATATTTATCATTGTACCGAAAAAGCAGCTTTTAAGTTCTAATCATACTGGTTTATTCAACACAAAATTAATTTCGGTTTATTTGAATCATTTTGATTTATTTAAACAAATTCAATTTAATTTCCATGCAATCTTTCGAAAAGATTCGATTGAAGTGTCACTTAGTACCTCATCAACTAGGTTTGCGGTTCCAGCGCCCATAATGAGTGCGATGTTCTCCTCAGTGCAACTGGAATTGTCTGGCTGTAACTGATCGAATTGTTGGTGGTGCCCTTATGGGATGTTTTTTGATGATATGCTGCTTCAGTCTACTGAACTTCCGGTAGCTCATCCTGCAACCTTTTTTAGTGCATGTGATGTGCACAAGCTCCTTATCAAAATGATGTTTATTCTCGTGTACTTTTAAGGTGTCGTCGAAGTCCATCAATATATCCCTCAACCAACTGATGGCAGTAGAAACACTTCAGGGTGTCTGCCATTGCTCACGAGGCTGAAGAAAATACAAGGTTGTATTTAACTATTCTACTTACCAAACAACTCCTCCACGTCACAACGGTCAGATTTCAGATTCAGCAGAGCTTCCTGAACTTCCAGATCCATTACGCACTTAATTTGTTGCAGAATAATTACTCAAAAACTGCACGCACACTGCACTCAGCGTAGTCGAAAAACAAAAATATTGGCGACTTTTTTATCTTATTTTGACAGAGTGAAAACGATACGATGAAATATGCTGAATTTTCAGCAATCTGGTCAAGTTGCTGGTTTTCAGTTAAAACGAACCAAATTGCTAATTTTCAGTAAAATCGTAGATTGCTGATTGCTTTTCAGTAAACCATTTTGCTGAAATCTTTGATCAATTTTCGGTGTGTACACTGTCTATAATCGAGGGGGCGACCCCGGCGTAGTGGTTAACATCCATACCTCTCACGCTAAAGTCACGAGTTCAAATCTCACCCCTGGACAAGTCACGAATGACCCAAGAGTGTTAAAGTGACTATAATAAAAAAAAAAAAAAAACCTATAATCGCATATCAGTCCCATATGGATATTCGTCAATTTTAAGATAATAACGCTAACCACTATCAATTGGCATCTACTTTCATAACACGTGATAAAGCTACGGACTTTGATCATGAAAAATGTGAGAACAACATCAAGTCAGTTTGTCCCATCAAGCAAAGTAATCGCATATCAGTCCCATTCTGAAAATCAATCGTCCAGACGACAAGTTACAGTTCTGTTTTTTTTTTTTTTTTTTGAAGCCCATATATTTTGCTGATATAACAAATCATGCAAACTTCATTGCAATAGACTTTAACTTGAAAAAAATATCAAGTAAATTACAATTTTTTTTTTTCAAATATTAAAATGGGAATTGCACTTCGTACCTTCAACTGCCAGTTTCTCAATCCTACTTTTTCCATCCGGAACTGATATGGGATTATAGGCAGTGCATTTCTGGGCACAGTCTTCGGATAGTTTCGATATGTAGGTTCCGGTGTGTAGTCACACTCCCTAGCCCCTGGCGATTGACACTCGAACAGAGACCAACTTTAAATAACGCAAATAAGAAAAAGTTCTTCCAGGAATGGGATTTAGATATTCACCCGTTAGGTCTACCACTTCAATCTTGAGAGGAAAATTCGACTTTGCTTCCACGAAACGAGAAAAAAAAATTTTTCGTAGTTAAGTAACGTTCACCGAATGCTGTGATTATTGGCAATTATCCTCCCTCATTGTGTGCCGCCCACTGCTGTGGCTCGTGGAAACCGAATCGAGAAACTTTCACTAGGAAAATGTTGCAGCTCATTCCGGGCCGTGCCCCACTGGACAAAAGACGACGCCGATTATTCTCTTGACCGTGTTGCGGAAGCGTCGAAAGGCTGGATAGACGATGGCGGCAAATGGAAACAATGAAACCGATCGATCTCTCGAAGGAGTAAAGTTTTTTAATTTCGAAAGTATTCTCTGTGAAGTTTTTGCTAGAAAACGGGGGAGCTTCACTGGCAGAGTAAGATTTTCCGATGGATGGAGAAATTAATCCCCAGAGTGTGAACCTTGGCAATGATAGTTTTTTTTTTGTTCTTGGAATCGGTGGTATTGGACATTGGAATGATCGTCACTGTGATTATCTTGATGAAACTCAGGCCGGCTTTATCATTGTAACCCTGAAACGTCGAGCAAACACGTTATCTCTGCAGCAGTTGCTAATTTATTTGAACAGAGTGTTGGTTTGGGCGGGATGAAGGAGGTGGTCGCTTTGAGTACATGCGAATTAATGGGATCATAAAATCGCAAGTGCCATCAACATGTGATACTATCAGACTAATTTATGTCAGGGTGAAATGGTGAAAATTTGTTGCTGATTCTACGCCCCCGAGCCGTAAATTATTCCGTTTCCATCCATTCCCAATATCCATGCTGATGTCGAGGCAGCTGTACTAACTCATCGGTGTGATTGTGGAAAATTGAATTTATATACCACGTAAAAAACCACAACCCTTTCATTATACTCCGACAGCAGCAGTTCAATCGATTCCGACCATTCTGAACTGCCTGTCTGCATTGATGAATGATTGTTCGATGGGTTCAGCGTTGCAGTAAGGAGAGAGAATGTTGGGCTCAAGCTGGTGGAAAAGTTAATCAGAATATGATCCGTCATTTCAACTTATTATTATAAAGAAAGATAGAAGGATTAGTAATTTCCATTTAATTCCATTACCTGTTTGTCATGTGACTTCATCTCGATGAGTCTGACCGTCACAATGCACAACGGTATAGTGCTGGCGACAACTCTCTGTTGAGACAACGGTACCCCATTTCCATGCTCCTCCCCTGATCGAACCCAAAAAAAAAAGTTGTCCTTTCTAACCTCGAGAAAACCACGAGCAATCAGTCCTCTCTACTAACGGGTGTCCACTAAAAAATGAGAATGAAAATAATGGGTCGGGTAAAAAACACCAGTGAAGTTTACTTCAAACTGATTTATTTCATACAACGGGTTAGCTTAAGTATTCAAACTGAGCTTAGTAAATATTGGCATACGGACCGTGGGCCACCGTGTGGTTACTTTTAGAATTCAGCAAGCAGAATCCTTCTTAATTATTATTATTATTATTATTTATTAGTGACACTTTATCACTTCTGTGGCATTCGTGTCGCTTTTCTATGACAGATTGAATTATCTTACGAACTACATTTCTTTGAATAAATTAGCATCTTTCAAAAAAAAAATTTCTTTGCTGGAGGTGTTTGCAAGAACATTTGTCCCATCGCTTCCTAAATTCGGCAAATCCTCTGCAATCCACAAGTATATGATGCACAGTAAGTCGAGTTCCACAAAGGGGCAAGGGGCACTCCACCAATCATCAGCTAGTGCGGGTGATGAATAACATCCGAAGTAACAAAGCTGTATCCAAGTCCACAGCCATGGCCTTGTTAGACGTCGAAAAGGCGTTTGACAATGTCTGGCACGACGGACTTATATACAAGCTTTGTAACTCCAACTTTCCACCATACCTTGTGAAAATCACCCGTAACTATCTCCAGCAAAGGTCGTTCACGGTGTCGTTGAATAGTTCCCTTTCGGGACAATTTCCGATCCCAGCAGGTGTTCCGCAAGGGAGTCTGCTGGGACCACTGCTTTACAGCATCTACACGTCGGACATCCCTCCTCTAGGAGACGGTTGCGTGTTCTTTCTGTTTGCAGATGACACCGCGATAGCTGTCAAGGGTAGGATGCCTCGTGAAATTACGAACAAGCTCCAACGATGCCTTGACACCTTCACTGATTATGCCACCACGTGGAAAATCAAAATCAACGCCTCGAAAATCTCAAGCGATCATGTTCCTTCACAGACAATCACCAAAACTTAAACCGTCTCCCTCCTGTACCGTAATAATGGATGGTACAAGGGTCGAGTGGTCCACTGATGTTACTTATCTCGGGATGTTGTTCGATGAGAAGCTCCTGTTCCGCTCGCACATAGAGAAAACCCTAGTTAAGTGCTCCGCCTTGGTTAGGTGTTTGTATCCGCTCATTTGCCGCAGATCCCGCCTCTCAAGGCAAAACAAACTGGCTGTTTACAAACAGATCATAGCCCCCGCGATCTTCTATGCCGCCCCGGTGTGGGAATCGTGCGCTCAGACCCACAGGAACAAAATCCAGGTTGCACAGAATAGAGTGTTGAGGATGATCCTAGATCGTCCATTCGACACAAGAATAGCAGACCTCCATCAAGAGGCAGAAATTCCCAAAGTAGATTCCAAAATTGATGATATGACAACTAAATTTATTCAAAAATGCAATCTTTCTGAACATGCTTTAATAAGCAATTTGTACATAGTAGGTTAAGTGTATATAGTAGAGTAGGTTAGTTTTAAGCTGTCAATAGTAGTATTAAGTAGTTTCTCTTCAGTTCCACAAAAGCAGCACATTGGTGGAGATTTGTTTTCCAACACGTGAGAGTGATTCAGCCGAGTGTGCCCGATGCGTAATCTGGTAAGAGCTCGCTACTCAGATGATTTTTTCTGTCAACAAATTTGCCTGCAGTCGGTTTGATTTGAAGTAGGTGTGCCCAGGTTTGTCTCCACAATTTTTCCCAAACACACCAAATGTTTTGTTCAATAAACCGCACAGAATCCTGGGGTGGAATTGGCATGTTTGGTGGAATTCCCTTCCGCCCTTGATTTGCCAGTTTGTCAGCTTCCTCATGTTCGGCATGGAGACTCCTGTTACTGCTAGAAACAGATCAGATGCTCGCTTAACCACTGGTAGGTCGGCTACTGATTTGTTTTTTTTTTCCACAAGTCGTATTGCTAGTTGTGATAGGCGCTGGATTAATATTAGACGAAATGGCAGACACCCCGCTTCAGCCATAATGGAGGTAATTGGACTAGTTCTGAACGCGCCAGAAGCTTGTCGTATCACCTCATTATATGTTGGGGTTAGAGTAAGTTCCATAGCTTCGATGTTGATGCTGGTGAAACCTAGGCCGTACAGTAGCTTGGAAGTCACGAGAGCTGAACCCATGGTAAGGAGAGTTGAACGGTTGCTTCTCACTAGACGACGTCCCAAAACTCGAAGCATGTTTAATCGCTGCACACAGCTACGTTTGGTTTCTGCAAAGTGCTGAAGAAGATTAATTTTCGCATCTATCAACACACCAAGAATTCGCATCTTTCTAACACGTGGTATAGGAGTACCATTGACTTTGATAGCCCGACCACGCTTTCGATTGCAGATGTGTAATAACTTTGATTTTTCCGGAGCGATAGCAAATCCAACGCTCGTAGCCCAGTTGGTTTATTTAGTATAGGAAGTAAGAGCAAGTAAGCTGTTGATAAATAAATATAAAACAAATCTCGGTTTTGTCCAGTGTATGAATTGATCAACTGAAGAACAATAAGAAAAAGGAGGGTATATGAAGTACACTTCAGTTTCCAGTCAGTTTTCCGACGAATCTATACACGTCACGAAAAAGAATACAGTAGCTCTTTAAATTTATTGTGTAAGAAGGAACAGGAACACAAATTTACTAAAACCGATTTTTCCAGATAAAACCTTCAAAAGTAAAGCTAAGTTCCGAATCAATTTC